ACATGACAGGCGAAACGTCGGCCTATCTGCCAACGACGCGGCGTCAACCGGACAGCCTAGAAGTAATGTAAAGAATGGGTCAAGCGCGAAATATTTCTGTTCCAAGGGTGGTGTGAGTACTACGAACACACACACTTCCCAACCAGTATTCACGGGCTCAAACCTGGCATGAGCTTTCGAAGGCTGGATTATCTTCAGTGTGCCACGCCATGTTTTTTTTTCATGCAAATAATCCTGCCCGACAAAATTCAATTTCTACAGCATTATTTAGTCCCAACGAGATCCTACATTTTACCTACCAGAAAGCCCGCGCAAAACTAGCTGCGGCCGACATTTGGTGGAGGAAGTGAGAGTTACAATTTCAAGCTCTGTACGAGGAAATTATAGACCCACCTACTAGAAAGATCCTCTAGACCAGGTCTGCTCAAATGCAAGAATTGGGACCAGGCTGTCGCGTGCCACCAGCCTTTTACTAGATTAGAACCGAAACGGCAAAAAGACAAATGTACTATTTTGTGTCATGTGGGAGTAGTGAACATATTAAATTGTTAAAAATTAACAAGTGTGTAAACTTATTAAATAAATCTGTTTAAGGTCTATATTATTCAGATACAATTTTGTGTGGCCCGCCTAATCTTTGAAAATATATTTCTATAACTACATTCCACGGCAGGTTCAGCGACTCATCTGATCATTTCCTTGTTAGAATGTGAAGTTTGACAATCGCGAAAACATCTACCATGTTCTCCTTCAGGGGCGCATTTTCAGCCTCAAGAGAGCGCTCATTCTGTCCTACGCCCTTGTGCTCAGTGCAATTCTATGATCATAACTCATGGAATTCCTTATTGATTTCAGAAATTCACTGTTTAATGTTTGTATTTGAAACCAACACAGGGGTCCGTCATTCCCCTCCATTATCCATTGGAGATAGTACTTGTCCACTGAACTTCATTGTTACACTAGTGTGTGTAAAGGCCGCGTATGGTGTTCGCAAACTTAGTTGGAGCTTGGGTACTTGGTTGCGCTTGGGTGCTGTTTTCGCTCTTACACGGGCATGTTTTGATACTTTTTTCCTGTCACGTGTGCACGCGCTTCCTGAGGGTAAATGAGGGACATTTTCAGCAGCATGCACTGTCAGAACCGACCAAGAGGAATAATAGACACTTGGACATGCAAAAGAGGTTGTCGCAGAAACTACGAAGAGGGTGGCTGACGCAGAGGCAGTGCGGACAGTCAGCTGCAGCGGGAAGAAGCATTTTGGGGTGACATACACATGCAAACAGTGACAGCGATGGGATGGCATCCCTTTGTAACAGTCCTGTGGACTGATGAGAGGCTACCTTCGCCCAGGCGATAACAGAAGAAAATAACTTCTGGTAAAGGCGCAAGAAAGGATCGTTGGGTGTTGGCCCAGGGAGTTAAGTGCCTTACTTCATTGGAGTCCAGAGACAGTACAGACAACTTGCCTAAGGCCCTGATCTAATGGGCCTTTTTTGATTTCCCTAAGTGATAGAAATAAAAAAAAATTAACAAAGTTATAAAAAAACATGAACATTATATTAGATAGGGCAATCTGTTTGAAATTATAGGACTCCATTTGTCTACTACCTATATCTCTTTTTCCTGAATTCCCCTGCCTGTCTTCGCTGGTGGTTACAGAGGAAGAAAAAGATAATTTTTTGAGCGCTAGGGAAACTGCTCTCTTCTTTTTATTTGCAGGTTCAAAATATCTGACATTGCTGCTTCTTAAAGGAGTCGAGTTTGTTCCCTTCAGATTCTTGGATACACTGAGTCGTATTAAAAGTTGACCCAATTTTCTGCAAGTTTAATTCAAAGGACGTTGGCAAAAATTTTCATTACAAGTCTCTTTAAAAAAATAGTGCGTTTTCGATAAAAGCGGAACGTCACGTAGAAATCAATGAATTTTCCTAATTGAAAACAAAAGAATAAAACACACAGAAGTCGGAGAGATAATTTATAAAGTACTAAATCAAAACCTGTGTATCAAATAAAGGTATAGGACTTTCTTAAAAATTTATCATTTGTATTTACGAAAATAAATCTTTATTTATACTTAAGTTCGCGACTCGTCGGCTCCCCGGTTGATGGGGCCGTGTTTTTGTGAGATCTGAGTGTAGGACAATCCCAAGTCAGTCGGCGCGCTTTCACGCTGTTTGCCACCCTGAAACGGTTGAAAATGATCTCAGCTTCCTTTTAATGTCTTTGACACATGTTCTGACTCTCATTTATTAAAACCATATTAATGTTATAATTCTCTCTCAATAGTGCTCTTCAAGTTCCATTATTGTGGTTGGATTGTTTTTGTACTCTGTCCTTCAAAAAGCAACAAAAAATATCGCGGGATGCATGTCATCTCACCAGTCAGATACCACAAATAATATCTGTATTACTTTATGATCCTTTCTTACATTTCGATATTTGACAAAACTATCAAATAAAAAAAATACTTCTGTTCCAAAGGAAGTCATTGCCAGCTGCATACTATATTTTTCAAATTGAACATATTCCTTTTAGTTCCTTTTAAAATTTGATGGAAGAAGAGAAAATGCAGGTGATTCGCATTGAAAAATATTGGGAAAGAAAATCCGATTGCTCCCCCCAGAACGGCCCGCGCCGTCGGTTGAGGGGAAAGTGCGCTGCCTCGCCTCGTCGATTGGCTGCATTTCGGTTGTTTTTTTTCTCTCTTCAAACACTATGTGACGTATGGGGGAGAAGTGTAATATGAGAAGGTTTTCTTGAGCTAGAGAATCTGTCGATATCCCTGGAGTCAACGGTCGGAACTTCTAATAGATGTTCACTAGACGAACCGCAGTTTTAGAGGTATTTAGTTAATTGTTTGGTAAAATATCCTTTTTTCTAAGATTACATTGTTTACAAAATCCATTTATTTAAAAATATATTCTTTTGTGGTACTTCAATTCTTGAAGTTAAGCACCATCCACAAAATATGTCACAAAAATAAACGTCGTTCCATTCAAAATAATCAATGGATGTCAGTAATTTATGGTACAAGAGAGTTAAACTAGATTTTATTCTTGAGTGAAATAGGTAAGTTGACTACACATTAAGTGGGGATACTAGTCAATAAACCTATTTAAGCTCCAGTGCCATTTATAATTTATCTACTACAATTACTTAAAGCGAAAAAGTATAAATGAAATATCTCAATACTGCAAGTATTTCCACGTACACGTCAATCCTTGAATTAATGAGGATGTTGCGAAGGTGACATATGCAAATTAATTCATTTCAGTTTAATTTTTTTAGCTGCACAGTAAAATATTTAGAAATTAATTATTTTAATTTTTTAGTATAAAATAATTGTTAAAGTTGTCCAGAACAACGAAACACAATTTGGTTTTCACACAAAAATTGGAACAAACTTTTATTTCATTGACTGTGAGATAATAATCAACTTCGATAATAAAAATGTCATTCATTTTTATAATATCATTACTAGATGTTATTAAAGCCCCTGCTTTCTCAGGATAAAGCTCTACTTTCTCATTTTCTAAGTTCAATGCTTCGAGACATGTTTAGTTTTTGAAGTAGCCCCAAGTTTGAATGAAAATATAGCCAATTTACTTTAACCAAACTTGCAGGTAAGGTGGCAATCTTCCGTTGAATATAGTATAAACACAAATGAGCTGGAAAACGTACACTTAACGCAAGCCAAAACGACTAGCTCCGAAACGCTATCACAAAACCTACCCACAAACCTCAAACCGGGGTGTCGGGAGGCTAGCACACAGTGACCCAACGTGCCTTGAGCACTACCAGCCGCGGCCGGAATGGTAGGCCGCAGCAGCAGCAACAGAACCGCCAGGCGGTCGGGGCTGTCCCGTAAGGTGCGTAGTCTAGAGTGGCCTAAAGTGCCTTGAGCGCGGACAACGGCGGCCGCAATGGTTCCCCGCAGCTGCAGCGAAACAAGGCAGCCGGGGCTGTCACGTGGGGACCCTAGTCTAGAGTGGCCTAACGTGCCTTGAGCGCGGACAACAGGGGCCGGAATGATAGGCCGTAGCTGCAGCAGCGAGACATGGCGGCCGGGGCTGTCACGTGGGGAGCCTAGTCTAGAGGTGCCTAACATGACTTCAGCAACAACAGCGGCCGGAATGGTACGCCGCAGCTGCAGCAGCGGGACAACCACGTGGTCTGGGCTGTCACGGGGGAAACCTCGTTCACTGTGGCCTAACGTGCTTTGAGCGCGGACAACGGCGGCCAGAATGTTAGGCCGTAGCTGCAGCAGCGGGACAACATGGCGACCGGGGCTGTCACGTGGGGAGCCTAGTCTAGAGTGGCCTAACGTGACTTCAGCAAGGATAACGGCAGCCTGAATGGTACGCCGCAGCTGCAGCAGCGGGACCACCAGGCGGCTTGGGCTATCACGTGAGAAACCTATTTCACAGTGGTCTAACGTGCCTTGAGCACAGACAACAGCTGCCGAAATGATACGCCGTAGCTGCAGCACCGGGACCACCAGGCGGCCGGGGCTGTCACGTGGGGAGCCTAGTCTAGAGTGGTCTAACGTGCCTTGAGCGCTGTCAGCGGCGGCCTGAATGGTACGTCGCAGCTGCAGCAGTTGGACAATCAGGCGACCGGGGCTGTCTCGTGAGAGACCCAGTTCGCAGTAGCCTAAGGTGCCTTGAGCGCGGACAACGGCGGCCGGAATGATAGGCCGTAGCTGCAGCAGCGGGACAACATGGCGGCCGGGGCTGTAACGGGGGGAACCTAGTCTAGAGTGGCCTAACGTGCCTTGAGCGCGGACAACGGCGGCCGGACTGGTAGGCCGCAGCTGCAACAGCGGGACCACCAGGGGGCCGGGACTGTCACGTGGGGATCGGCCGGGGCTGTCTCGTGAGAAACCTAGTTCATAGTGGCCTAACGTGCCTTGAGCGTGGACAACGTCGGCCGGAATGGTAGGCCGCAGCTGCGGCTGTAGCAGCCGGACCACCAGGCGGGCTGGGCTGTAACGTGGGGATCCTAGACCACATTGGTCTAACGTACCTTGAGAGCGGACAACAGCGGCCAGAATGGTAGGCCGCAACTGCAGCAGCGAGACAACATGGCGGCCGGGGCTGTCACGTGGGGATCCTAGTCCACAGTGGCCTAATGTGCCTTGAGCGCGGACAGCAGCGGCCGGAATAGCAGGCCGCAGCTGCAGCAGCGAGACAACATGGCGGCCGGGGTTGTCACGTGGGGAGCCTAGTCTAGAGTGGCCTAACGTGGCTTGAGCACGGCAAGCTGCGGCCCGACTGGAAGGCCGCAGCTGCAGGACCGCCATGCCGCCGGGGCAGTGACGCGGGCCGGCGGCAGGCGGCGCAAGGGTGGGCGTGGGGCGCGGGAGTCAGCCGGCGAGCGCCCAGCGCTGCAGCTCGCGGCGCACGGGCGCGGTGGCGGCGAGGTCGACGGGGCGGGCGCCGTTGGCGTCGCGGGCGGTGCGGCTGGCGCCGGCCACCAGCAGCGCGCGCACCATGTGCACGTCGCCCTCCTCCGCCGCGATGTGCAGCGGCGTGTTGCGCATCTGGTCGGCCGCCGTCGCCGACGCGCCGTTGCGCAGCAGCACGCTCAAGCACGCCACGCTGCGCGACGCCGCCGCGAAGTGCGTCGCCGTCAGCCCCACGTACGTCTGGCTGCGCGCCTGTGCGCACACGCAAATTGTATATCAAAACGCGCGCAAGCGCTTACCTTTTGCACCCTAGCTTCAGGCGGCTCCACACATTCGGTATTCGACGAGCAGCGAGCGACCGCGCGCCAACGCACGGAGTGGTGTGGATCGGTTGCTTGCTATTTGCCGCTACTGTCGTTTTCGCTCTACCCAACAGGTGTTTTGTATGTTTCGGACACACGAAAAGGAGCGCTCGTTCGCATAGCCAATCGGCTGCTCAGGATAGGGAGAGAACTGGCTCCCTATTCGGCGAATGGGTGGAGTCGCCTTTTAGAATGTGTGGCCGTACACTGGGATCTCTTCCGACTAGGCCAAATTCACGATCTAGACAAAAATCAGAAATGAACTGCTAAAATATCTGGTAATCAACTCGCTCAAAACGAATTAATACTGCTTTCAAATCGCGGAAAGGTGGTTAGGCTTAGTGCTTTTTTAAAATGTTTATTTAAGGTTGCCTTTTAAGAAAAAAGACCATCACAAAAGGCGACCACAATTAAGTTAACGTTAGCGCTTTGTATACGGCGTATGTAGGTTTCTCTGTGTAGAAGGAAATTCAGAATAGGCTATTGAAACCTTAAGGCGACATGGAAATCGTAGGACCTCCCGATCAGAGAACGCCACTACGCGTGACAAGAGCGCATCAAACCGCAAATTCCGATTTAAGCTTAGCGCAAATGGATGTTTCAACAGGAACGCAGCAATCCACGCAAATTTCGCACCGCTCGTTTCATCTGTAATGGATCATAAACTTGTGATTTAAAAATTCTAATAATTGACCTCTTTCCTGATTCAGCCCACACTTAAGCGTATCAAAAATCTATAAACTAATAACAATTTATGACGTTACGCCAAGTTAACGCTCTTACAGTATAAATTTATAAATTTTGTGTGAATTCGCGAAGTCGCTCCTGTACAGGAAACCGAAATATTAGCACTTGATTTTGAAATATCATTTGAATATCATTTGATTGATTTGGAAACCCGGCTCTGTATGTTCTTTTTCCTATCATTGGATTTATATTACCTGCTAATATAAACACAAATTTTAACAATACAATAACAATCAATATGCACAGCAATTGACAAACACCAGATTTCAAAATGATACACGGCGAATTGTACACTCCGCCATAGCTTTCTATACTACCAAATCATAACATGACACATACAATTTACCCTTTAAATACATATAGACCCTTTAAAGACATATTTTGAAGAAAACAAATTCAATAACCCTCACTCAGTCATACATATTTAAACTGCATTTATTCACGAGAGTGCACTCGTTTTGAAAATAAAAACAAACATTAACTCTAATGGTCATTACTAATAATTTCTTAGTTGGTTACAATCTTGGCCTTGTTATAAGATTGTTGCAAAATTGCGTCATCTCCATGGACCCCGTAAAATGGTGCCACCTCCGCTACTGCGATTCTCGTCGCGGGTACCATCCTTTTCTTTCCAAACTCCAAATTGAAACACTCGCGAACTATATTCCGTACTATGGAACACCCTTTCACGACTTCCTACCACCTTTTACATGGAAAACTCCAGATTTCACTTCTACCACAATGTCAGTACTACCAGATCGCCAACCCGTCTGTCCATATGCATTGGTGCATACCTTCCTTCTCACCGCACAGTTTAAAACAAAGAACAGCTCTTGTCTTCTGTCAAGCTCGCTCTACATTTTTATACTCCAATTTTACATTTTCGTTTCCACAATTTCTTCATTGTAATACTTTCTAATTAAACTTCTAACAATAATTGTAATTACCCTTCCCCTTTTACAAATTCCTAATATTTTATTGTCTAAATGTTTGTGCAATCGCCCATTTCTTACATTCTTTATTTGTCTTTTCCAAACATACGAACATTAATTTATTCATTTAATAAACGAGTTTCATTATTATATAATAATCCAGAGTACGAGTGACTATGTATCCTCCCTAAACGGTTCTTTCTTTATTCTTCCCAGGACTGTTACCAGCTTAGTTCCTTGGATTTTTTTTAGAAATAAACACTTTGTACTTCAACCCTTGCACCTTCGACTGTTTCTCTTTATTAAATATGTCAGTTTTTTGCAATTTTTTAGTAATCATTGTGATGCGTCCGAATGGACCGTCACACATCATCTAGCGAGAAAGAAGGTATCACTCGGACAGCGAAACAGACGATATCAACTTAGCTCAGAGGCTTCTTTAGGCTCGAGGATCTTTTACATGCAACAAATCTACACCATGGGACAGCCGGCTTTACTTCCCACCCGCAGACAGTTTCGCCCTTAAAAATCCACGGCTTCAATCTGGTTTGAAGCCACAAAATTGGGCCCAACAGCCCAACCGTTAACCGCTAACCGTTATACAAGCGCCGACGCTAAACTCCATTTGGGAAAGCGCAGCTCGCGCTTGCACGGGCGATGGGCTGACCTGCGCGCCGTGTCGCAGCAGCAGGCGCACGGCGTCGTCGTAGCCCGCGGCGGCGGCGCGGTGCAGCGGCTCGTGGCCGTCGCCGTCGCGGGCCCTGGGGTCGGCGCCGTGCTCTAGCAGCAGCACCACCATGGGCAGCGGCGCCTGCTGCACGGCGAAGTGCAGCGGCCGGCGGCTGGTGAAGGAGCGCGCGTTCACGTCCAGCCCCTGGCGCAGCAGCTGCAACACGCCGTACGACCACACTGCACTCGCCTTCTTCCACAAACGCCCACGCCCCCTCAGCTTCGCGCCGCATCCACCCAGTTGTCTTTTTGTGAACATTTCGGAAACTTCGATTAATTGATTGATTTTTACTATCCTCTATTTATGCGTAATACGGAATAATATTCGTAGTATAGGGAAAGTTATGAAATTATGCAGAAAATCGATTTTGAGATCTTGGTGGAAATGTACGTTTTGGTGTCCCCGATACCGAAAAAGTGTTGTTTATTTTTAAAACGTCCGTTCGTCTGTCTGTCCGTCCACCCGTCTGGTGTATGTGAACAACACTAGCGCAAAAACCATGCGTAGGATTTTTTCCGAAACCTCTGTACTTTAATTAATTAGATCGCTGGTGAGGTAGATACCTTTTTATTATGATAAATGTGATTATGATATATGATTATTATGATTTATCAAAACCACTGTACATTGGGCATGAGTCGAAGCCGTGCGATTTTGAAAAGCACTCATTTAAAAGTTTTTGAGGATACTTTACATGAATGTGGTGATGGATATGATGGTATTGGTGGCGGTGGATGTGGTGGTGTTGCTGGTGATTGTGTTGTTTGCGTTGGTGGTGGTGGCGGTAGTAGTGGTGGTGGTGGCGGTAGTGGTGGTGGTGGTGGTGGTGGTGGTGGGTAGTAGCGTGGTGGTGGTAGTGGTGGTGGTGTGGTGGGGATGGTGGTGGTGGGATGGTGTGGTGGCGGCGCGTGGTGGTGTGGTGGTGGTGGCGGCGGTGCGGTGGCGGTGGCGGTCGGTGATGGTGGTGTGTGGATGGTGGTGCCGGAGGGGGTGACGCGGTGGCTGCCTCACCTCTTCACGCACTCGACGGACACGAGCAGGCGGCCTCGTGGAGCGCCGTGGCCGAGCGCGGTGAGCGAGGCGGGGCTGGCCGCGCAGCGCGCGCAGCCAGCGCGCGCACGCGGTCCACGCGGCCCTTGCGCGCCGCCAGGTGCAGCGGCGAGCGCCGCGCCTCGTCGAGCGCGTCCAGCAGCGCCCCGCGCCGCCCCAGCTCCACGATCGTGGCCACGTAGTCGCCCGGCGCGCGCTCCTGGTCGCTCGTCTGCGCACCCAATCAACGGCCTTTTAATTACTACGGAGCTACAATGCACGAAAGTGAACTTAAAAATTGTATTTCTTCTGGCTCGCTACCGCTTACCAAGTACAGACAAATTATGTAAAATGGTGCGGTGAAAATCGGTGAATTTTCAGAATACAAACTCTTTTTGCACGGCCTTGGTAACGAAAAAGTTCATATATCCACTTGCCAAATTAGGGGGACAAATTTTCTAACACGCGGTGCAGCTAGACTCCACGTTTTGCGGGTCATTTGTACCGAAAGTCGATTGACCACAAAACGTCTGTCCCTGTCTGTGTACGGCGCTAGCGGCTCAACCGTTCAGCTGTTTTTCTTCAACATTTATATTCCCTAATCGAGCTGGCTAATGTTGCGACTCCTTGAATTTGAAACCGGTATTTTAATTTTTGAGGGTACTTTACATGAATTTTTAAAATGTTCAAAAAATGACTCCATTGTTTTCGATTATTTTTTTGTTGTTGCATAGTGTGAGGAACGTCTAAGAGAGTAGATCTCACGCTCGTTGAAAGCCCTGATTTTTTCAAAAATTTCAAAAATTCAAAATTTGTTGGCTGCCTAAAACTACCATTAACAAGAATCATTTTGTTCCTAATGAAATGTGGTCATCAAAAACAGGTCTTCAATTAATGTCACATTGAATTTTTCGAATATATGAGAATTTTTTGTGAAACTTACCCGCTTCTAATTTCCTGGGCTTCGTGAAATTAATTTAAGAGATGTTTGGAGGCCTTTGGATGCTCCGTAAGTTAGATTTTGTATATTAATCCATATTTCTTTGTTCGTTTCTTACTTTCGAGTTTTTGTTATACGTTAACAAATTACGTCTTTACCATCACCACTTAAAAATATAATTTGCACGCACAATTCATTGATTAACGCCATAAGAAGACTCATGAGAAGCTAGAACGCTGTCCATGGTGCGATTTCGGGTTTAATTCCTGGTTGTGACAAAAATAAAGTTGTAGCTTTCCTTCAAAATTGTCTAAGTTTCTGGGACTAAGAAGGCAATGCGATATGTTCGCCACATGTCTTACACCAGCCTTCCACGCGTGAGATTTAAACTACGCCCAATGGTGGACACCGTTAGCTTGCCAGCACAGTCGGACAATCGACCTCGAAGTGATAAATACATAATAGATAATTCTTTGATTCAAAATTAATCTATCTCGAGTTCAATCATAAACTTATTTTATTCACATACACACATCTTCTCATCTGCTCTTTGGCATGATTTCCATGAATTCGTACAATTATATATTTGATGATATAGCAACAATATCATTTCATCTTTCCCTCCCATAATTCCCTCGAGAACGTGTAGTATCATTCAACTATTTTCATATATCCCTCGTAACCACAATCCTCTTACGTTACGCGTACGTTATGCACTGTATGTGGAACTCTGTATGGAAAGCTATAGCAAGCAATAACGTGTTATTAAACAAATACTGCAATTTTATGTGTTTCAAATGCGACAAATTGGCTAAGCAGTACCTCCTCGGGCGGGCGGATCGGCGGGCCGTCGGCGGCGTGGTGCAGGGGCGTCTGGCCGCGGGCGTCGCGGGCGTCGATGGCCGCGCCGGCGTCGAGCAGCAGGCGCATGCAGCGCACGCGCGCGTAGGCGGCGGCCGCGTGCAGCGGCGTGGAGCGCTCGGGGCCGGCGGCGGCGGTCGCGTCCGCCCCGCGCGCCAGCAGCAGCTCCACGCAGCCCACGTGGCCGTTGGCCGACGCCCCGAACAGCGCCGCCGCCAGCGCCGCCGCCGCCGCGCCCGAAGGCAGCGCCGCCACCGCCGCCGCCGCCGCTGCACCGTCCTCGGGCTGCTGGCTTTGGGGTTGGCGACTCGCAGACTGCCGGCTCCGGGAATGGTGACCGTCAGATTGACGGCCTTGGGGTTGGTGACCGTCAAACTGCCGGCCCCGGGGATAGTGACCGTTAGACTGCCGTCCCCGGGGATGGTGAACGTCAGACTGCCGGCCCTGAGGATGGTAGTCATACTGCCGGCCCTGGGGATGGTGACCGTCAGACCGCCGGCCCCGGGGATAGTGACCGTCAGACTGCCGGCCCCGGGGATGGTGAACGTCATACTGCCGGCCCCGAGGTTGGTGACCATCAGACCGCCGGCCCCGGGGATGGTGAATGGCTAGCTGCCGGCCCTGGGGATGATGATCGTGATACTGCCGGCCCTGAGGGTGATGGTTGCCAGGCTGCCGGCCCTGGTAATGGCGGCCGTAAAACTGACGGCCCCGGGGATGGCGGCCGTAAGACTGCCAGCCCTGGGGATGGAAACCGACAGACTGTCGGCCCTGATATTGGCGGCCGTCAGGTTGCCAGCCCTGGGGATGGCGACCGTCGTACTGCCGGCTCTGGGGATGGCGACTGTTCGACTGCCAACCTCGGTGATAGCGACCGCCAGACTGCCAAACGTGGCGATGGCGATTGTCCGGCTGGCGATTGTGATAGTGACGGCCCCTCGTTTTCACGCTCCTGGTGTTGCTGCTGTGTCTTTCAGATTGCCGGCCCTCACGTTGTCGGCTCTCGGGTTGTCGGTCTCGCGGGTTGCCGGCCCTGGGTTGCTGGCCCTCGGGTTGCTGGTCCTCGGGTTGCTGGCCCTCGGGTTGCTGGCCCTCGGGTTGCCGGCCCTCGGTCGGCACACGGTTTGTCGGTTGACAGCCCTCCGGATGTCGGCCCTCAGTCTGCTGGTCCTCAGCAAGTTGCCTTTGGTTCTGGCGGCACTGGCGTTGCCGGCTTTCGCGCTGAAAACATGACAGAATTTGACAAACGTTGGCGCTGTACGTCTTGACCCAAAAGCCGTCGCCCAGACGGGCATAAGTGGTCTACGAACGCTTGACCATCTGGTAGTACTCTCAGAAGAGGATTCAGGATGAGGGCGAAAAGGACGTATGGTATCCATTGAGCGCTGATGTTAGGCAAGTCACGTTCTGACACGAAGAGATTTGGCCTACCTGCCGAATACCAGTGCTTGAAGTTACCTTCAATATAAATTTCACACATATGTTCTATGGCAATAATTATGATCTTGGACCCCATACATGCGTAGAGTAGTGTTCGGCATAATTTCACAGGAACTTTCTAACAAATGTTCCCCCAGGCATTCTGTAAACATGCAACTTACCGCAATTTTATCGTATGCGACAATGTGCTAATCAAAAATTAAAGTCTTACATACACTTGAATTTCTCTTTCACACTAAATACATACTTACGTTTATTTAATATGAATATTTACACTTACTGCCATCACCAACGTAAGATCTCTAAACTCTGTTTATAATAACGTACAATCGTTAAACGTGATCTTTGGGAAGATTATTAATTTTACAGCAAAAAAGTTAATTTAGACACACGGCACTACACAAGCAGAACACCAGACGCGAACCATATCACTCATCTCGACGAGATGGGTACTGGATGCCAAGCATGGTCTACGCGTACAACATGACGAGAAATGTCGGTCGGTATCTGACATGCGAGCCCTGAGGTGGATATTTGCGCCTACTGTCCCTGTTAACGCTCACAAACGCCGTGAACGAACAACCAAAGATTGCTTCTCCAGAGGTCAGTTTTGCCGACTAGTGCCCCTGATCCTTTTAACACTCTCAGACTGCCGTGCAGAAGGAGCGTATTCAGAGACCTCTACATGTGCTGCCACAACTAAAGTCGCAGGTGGTATCAGCGCATGTGCGTTCTTTTTCGTGCGGTGAACGTTTCTTTATATGGTGTTAATTAATCGATTTCATGAATTGAAGTTTAAAAAAATGAATTGTTGCCTTTTTACTAAATTTTTAAGCTTTATCCAACTATAATCCTTCTTTCTATTTCACTTTCTTATATGTAATATCAATATTATGGCTAGCTCAGATATTTTCGATCTTATAAGAATACTAACAAACACATCATAAATATCTCAAGACTTTATTCTTAATATTAAAGAAAAAGGCCTGAAAATACACCGCCACGAGCTGACATAAAATTTATTTTGAGGATTTAAGACCGAAGGAAAAATACTCTAAAATATTACTGCAAATAATAATAACCCTCATTCCCAATAATTCTCTAAGCCCAACAATCTGTCACACCATTTATTTTCTTAACAAGCTGGAAACCTGTGGCTTCCTCACTTCCACGTCAATTTCGATATGTATTTCAATATTTCATGTAATTCCCCTTATAATGATCTATTATTATTATTATTATTATTATTATTATTATTATTATTATTATTATACAAAAGAAACACATTCGCGCTAATATCATACAACATTAATATATTTCGTGTGCAAATCTTTACAATCTTTATTTAATGTAAAATTACTAATTGACCATTTCATATAAACGACCCTATTAGAATTCTTAAACCAATCTTCGGCCTTGTGCAAATGTATACTGTCTCAATATTGCAATTTTCTTACTTTCCTTTTAAATGCGCAGCCCTCTTGAACGACAAATTTTCCCTTTCCTGCAGAATCCCTTTCTTCCTCGACCATGCTTTATTTTTAATTCCACTAAATTGAGTTTTACTAGATATGTCAGTTCTGCTCCGTTTGCTCTACCCTGCAATGATCCTGTAGAAGTTTTCTTCGAAATGGGAACCGATGTCAGAGGTGCATCCATACCTCAAGCGGCGCCTGAGGCAGTGCCTCCTTCAGCAGCCGTTCCAGCTGCCGAACGTGCCCTGCCTCCGCCGCCTCCACCGCCCGGCTCAAGACGCCGGCCATCCTGCAACACACGAGCGGGTCATGTGGCAGAGCCATGGCTCGGAGGAAAAGACGCAGAGGCAATCTGGTACGCAGGCTGTTGAGTTTCCCCTAACGTGGATTTGAAAGAAGATTGATCCATGTCACGGGCATGTCAACTGCTATTGTCATTAATCCTGTAAGTGCAGAGAACGTTATGTCCCGGGAGTTGGTGGTCTTCCTATCTCGCTGAATGGTGAGATCCGTCGGGACACTAACCCTAGACCATCCCTCTCCGAGCCGCTGCGGAGCCAGCACTGATGCTGCCTCTGAGGTAGCTCAGGCGGAATTTGAAACAAGTGTTAGTCTTATGTGTGGAAATATTTCACAAAACCTTGAAGAGTTTAACGTCACTCACTGCAAAAACCGTAGTCAGATTACGAGTAATTACACTAGGGAGGGGGATGCATACCTCCAGAATGAAAATAAGTGATTTAAAAAAAACCGATCACGCTGATTTTGAAAATCATGAAGAGTTTCTGTCACGTAAGGTTCAAAAGATAAACACATTTATTATTTGCAATAAACCAAATCCTATACCAATTTCCACTTTGTCACTTTGGTTATATTACTACACAATTTTATGAGCATGCTTCATATGAGGTAAGAACAAGTTAAAAATAGAATACACATATTCGTGTAATAATATACAGACATTAAAATTTGACAATTTGTTGATATTCTTCACAATTCTGGTAGAGCGAATGAAAATGATTTGAGTTTTCCCTACAGCCTAAGGTTCGTTGTACAAGTGACACAACACTGGTGAGCAGCCCATGGTTTGCCCTGATCACAAACATGACAGCCAAAGTATAAATAATACACAAGTTTTATAATTTCATATATTTTTCCTTTGAATGTAAATCTTCCACAACGTAACAAGTTATCACGTTGATTCGCACGCTTTCGATTGATATGATGATTTGATTATATCGAACTGAATATCGTTTGAATTTGGAAGCCCTTCCGATGATACGTTCTTAATCTTCTTTCGTGCTAATATTAAGGAAATTGCCGCACCTCAAAAAAAAAAAAAGCGAAATGAAAAGTTAGTAATCAAAAAAAGGTAGAAGACTGGGACTGAGAAAGAACAAATAGCTCAAGCACTGCTCATGAATCAATTAGCACAAAATATCCTGCAAGTGAAAAAAGAAGTTGCATGGGAAATTGCAGTTGTATGTAACTGGACTGTTTTGTTCAAAGCTATACCTTAATTATTGACACCTGCAATGAAATGAAGACCAAATTCTTTAGTAACCATGATGACAATGATGTTGAATCAGAGCTACCTGATTATTTGCTGACACCTCATCATGTTGGATACCAAGTACTGGTTCTCACAGAAATACTAACTGTATTAAAACCTTAATTAAAACACATTTATTGTGATTGTTTTGTTATCCTCTCGGTTCACGAATAACAATGCTAGGTGTCGATTAAATAAAAGATATTCTCCAATTGGCAACCAGCTTCCTAAGGAGCGAATATGACTACTGGTGCTTGCGTAAAATAAGGCCTTCTTCCGCGCGTCGACTCGCACTTCTCAGCCTTTTCAATGGCCTACGATTTGAAGTTATCTGAGAACCAAATTCAGAATTCTGATCAATATAACGACGACCTGTGTTTTAACGCCACACTTTCGGCTGATTCTCGATTTCCAAACACTATTTTAGACGTTTCTCCGTCGTGATAGTATGGCACAGGAACATCTACGAGAAGACACGATTTTTATCCACATTCCCAATATCTATATCAAGAGTATTGTTTGTTCGCCGCTATCAGTTCATTGTACGTCACGTTATAATGTTTGAATAACTTCAGAGCATATTTAAAACTCTATGTAAATGCATTTTGTCGTTTGCCAATTTCAGATAGTAAAATCTTACCGTAAAAGGGGTATTGTATGCCATTCCTCAATGCCCCTTTTCAACAGTCAAGCCGTTTTATTTATAATTTAAATAACAATAATATTTAATTTTACCCATTTGTAAATCAAGATGAAACTACTGGCAACTTCCCACCTACTGGCAAAAAGTACCGTATGATAAGAATACAGCTCATTAAGGCCGAACATTCTCAGAAAGGCTTATAGTTGTATTGAACACACACACACACACACGAAGCTTTCTGATTAGCTATTCCAAAAGGTAGCGGAGCTCTTGGTAAGTTGCGCGTTATTTGTGAAATTTCATTGTCAATTTCGCCTAAACGATGCGTGTAATGAAAAAATATGTAACTAAAGCATAGAAACTTTTATGCAGAATATTTTGGTAAAGAGTAATTTATTGCCTAAATTCGATAGTTTATAGACGTACACAATAAAACAGAAGAGCAATTCATATTCTAACGGAAATATTTTTTGGCAGTCTTCATATTCGTATTTAGCACTCCAAACATAAAGGAGCAAAAAATCAAAAGTACGCTATATGTTTTAGCTAACTACTCAATGACTGGACTATGTACCGGAATGTGATTCGCAGGCGCACTGGAATCCAGACATAAGAGACAAGGTGTCGCATCTCAGAGGGTGCGATGCAACCAATCAGAAACTATGCTAGAAGAGCACGTACTTTCTTGTCCGTATTTTCACGCAAACTAAGCTAAAAGAACTCAAATTTTCGAAAAAATTGTACTTGACCTTATTTCAAAATCTATCTTTAAGGACCATATTTCATTCACGGAAAAATCTCTACCTTTAATATATTTGTTGTAGGAAGACGCCGAAAAAATATTGAACTTTTGCAATTTTCTAAAAGTCAGTGTTTTTAACAAACATGAGACCTTCACCAAACTTTATGTCCTTCACACTATCCATGAAAATGATTTAGTCAAAAACGATGGAGCTATTTTTTTTTAAATTAAAAACCTGTCCCAGAGGTTTCATGTTAAGTGCTCTTCAAAATTATTTCTCCCAATTTCCAATTCAAGGGTACCGCGACTTAGGCCAGCTCGATTGGGATATATTAATTTTGGAGAAAATCGGCAGAACGGTTTAGCCGCTAGCGTTGTTCGCAGACGAACGGACAGATATTTTGCCCAATATTAGATTTTTTGGTACCAAGGAACCCAAATCGTGGATTCTGGCTACACCATGTGTTAGATGACTTTTTTCTAAATTTAGCAACTGGATTTATTACACTTTTTCGTTACCAGGGCCCTGTAATAAGAGTTTTTCTGCCGTTTATTCGAGCAGCATACATCATTTTCTCTACTCCGTAGCGAGAAAGTAAAAAGACCCAAATCTAAAGCAGTGTAAAGTGTTTTTTATCCACTTGACGAGCGATCGGGAGGCCATATATATTGTGATTTTTGTTACTCTATAATGATTCGTTAACAAAATGTGATAATATTCTCGTTAACGAGAGGCAATTGGACAATTACGTTGGCTCATGCGCACGCCATGCGTGGGCGGAATTAGATTTCATCGCAGCGAAACGAACTGGCCTTCGGCACTTTTCGACTCGGACGATTGGCAACGCCGTTCATTTGCAGACCGATATTAACAAGCTACAACTAGCAGTATCCATGATACATATGTATGTATGTATATACTTGACGCGACCGCCTGTGAAAGGGCCCAGGCCTACCGGCGACGTCCCTGCCTCGCGGCCATGGGTTAAGGGGGTACGTGTTGTTAGCATGTAGACATCCCCACGCCGTATTCCGGTCTTCTCAACCTGAGAAGTGAATTTTCTGACCGTCACACAGCAAGATACACTTGGGACATTGCAAGGAAAACGCACACTGTTGTATTGACTTGACCTGGAATCGAACACGGGACCGCGCACGCTGACCAAGATCTAGCCACGACGCTTCCTTGAAACAGACGCTCAATGTAATTAGGAAATAGCCATCCGAGCCGCGGATAACATGAAGTAATTCTCCCTCAAGTTCGGACGCTTCCCAAAATGCCGATTCTGCGCTGATCCCGATTGTCACATTGATAAAAGTGTGCTACGTGAGACGGGGTTGGGTGTTATGTTAATAGTAGCTTTTGCCACTATCAAGGGGCAAAACACGCTCCTAACAGAAAGCGGGCAATGGACGTATGACCAGGGCATGCCCTAAACGGTCTCTTCCCAGAGAACAGTGTCCACCAGCTGCCACACGATGTAGGGGCGAATAACCTCTTAGAGAAGCAATTAGCAAAGTAATACGACCGCGCGAAAGGGTTTAGTTATTGTTTCGTAACTGTAAAACGGTGTAAGTGGGCCGTGCTCAAAGGCCATAGCAAATAAATATGAAGTGTCTAATTTCCTTGTATTTTACCAATTCGTGCATATGTGAGATTTGTGCATGCAAAACCTGATCCTTCCTCCGCTCATTAGATATAATTATCGCATTATATTTTAAGAGATATGTGATTGGCAGGGTTTGACAAATGTACAAACCTTACAATACTTCATATTGTATGCATGCCACATGATAGTACAAAAAATGACGACAGCCATAAAATAAATAGCCTAGTATTCCTAGTCACCTAGGAAACATTTTCAACAAAAGAAACAAGAATTTCTCATAATACATGACAAATTGTAATAACATCCCAGTAAATCAAAATTCTGGTCTACGGAAATAAATGCAAAGAAATTGTAATAACAGAAACAATGTCAATAATCATGTCCTAATCACCTTTTATGAAAGTGGCAAGACCCATAGATTTTAAAAAGTTTTTAACTCACAAATAAGACCATCATTTGGACTGATTATTCATAGTGCAATTTCTATACGTACACATGTATACACAGTAGATTGACTTTTAACATAGGGACAAACCTTTTCAAGCTGAGACAATCCATCAAATTTTGGCAACACGCTGGTACATTAAGTTATAAATGAGCATTAAACTGGCCTATTTTTCCAAGTGCTTGCGCGTTCGTCAAATTTATTTCCTTGCCGAAGACAATGCGTCGGGCGAAAATGATATATGAAAATTGTTTTCTACTCACTTTTGCTTTCACCTCCACACTATTTTATGAATAGTTTCTTATTCTAAATATTCAATCCATATACGGACTACTTATTTTATCATTAGTTGATAGAGCTTTGGAGAAAAAGCTGTGAATCGCTACTCTAAGACAATACAGGTCTTGAGGAAAAATCAAATGCAGATTTTTCTAATAAAGTTTTTATTTATTTGCAATAAACAATATACAATAATACAAAATCAAACAATAATTATATCATGTTCAATTATACCAAGTATTAAGTAAATTGCGTGATTAAAGTAATGAAATGAATAACATTAAAATAAATACTTTATTTTATTATTCTCCATATTTTCAGTTAAAAACACAATGTTTTTCTTTGATCGTATAATACATAGAGCTGTTTCTAAAACAATGCTACATAAGAGTAGATTCGAAATAAATCTACATTCGTATTTTTATCTATATATGTCTTTAAACAAGTATCACAGTAAGAGTGTTCCAAAAGAATGTAGAATATTCTTGATAATGCCCAGTATTTCAAAACTACAAACGTTTCAAAAATACACCGTTTTCGATAAGAAGAAAGAGTGCGTGAACGCGAAGGGTGGATAAGCAATATTCTTATGACTAGGGTAGTTTGTTTAAGGTCATAATTTTGGGCAAACCCAAACAAGAACAGACCGACATAATTTTGGACGGATTCGTAACATTCTGCGCGTTTATGGAACTAACAGAGTAAGTATAGGCAGGACGAATACTAGTGTTCACGACGCTGCTCAAACAGAAACAAAGCAAATGATAACGGTAACATCGTCAAGTTCTCTGAAAACGGGTAGGGGTCGAAATTTCACCAACGTCCGACTTTCACCCCCACACCCTCCTCCAATGCACGTCATTGTGTGAGCAGTTTCCTTAACGGAGAGCCGCATATTTATGAAATAACCAGTGATTACGAACGGATTAAATTTATTACATTTAAGGCACGTGTTTAGTTTTATCCAACTGATTACTGAGATTAGAATGATGGCAAGTACAAATAGAGCACGCTTTCAAAGGATTTACGAGAGAAGACAAGAATCAAAGAAAACAAGCCACAAACCCGAAGCCGATCTCGGATAGAGTGGCTTCAAAGTGCGAGAGGAAATTAGGACCTCTCCATTCAAAAATTTGAAAAGATGTATATTCTTTTAGAAGAAAAGCAAAATATACACATAAATTAATCATGAAATTGCACCGTTAGCAATTCCTAAATAAAATACGTAAAAGCGTTCAGCATGTTTATTATTGAAAACAACTAATACTTCGTAAATGGAAAATTGTATAATATTACGAGTATAATGACCATCATCAGATAGTGATCCCTTCCCTACTAATGAAATGTCTAAGATCTGCCACAGTTTTAACCACCGGGAGGGACTTTGGCATTAATCGGAGCATCAGAAGATCTGAGACTAGCAGGTTGCTGTTTCTTGCGCCCCTGTTTAACCGTCAGAATTACTGCTTCTACTGTGACTGACCTGTTTCAACGACCACTATCTCCAGAGTCATTAATGCAAACCATCGCGAAGGAAAATCTAGCAGAGGGTGTCTGGGTTACCCCGGGGAAGGGAGCATCATTCCTCAATTTTCTGTAAATAAGAATTTTAAAAAATGCAAGCGTTATATATATATATATATATATATATATATATATATATATATATATATATATATATATATATATATATATAATATTGAAAATGACCAATCGCAAGCTGCAATAGAAGACCATTCTATTGATGACCGTTCTAATTAAATAATTTTCTAGGGAGAGAATTACACCTATTCAGACTATCCACGTGCAATGTTTAAGGTGTTCACGGGGTTACACAGTGAATGATTCGAATGTGGCATCGACACCAAATCATAAGAGGAAAATCACAAGAGAAATATTATAATGACGACTCATATCTTAGATTCGCTACCAGAAATAATTGCGGAGAGATCAATTATCGTTGGAAAAAGACGAGGTTAACATTTCATGGCATACTCAAGGTTGCCAGCCCAATCGCTACCGATCCCTTTTGCACATTTCATTCCCCCGTGAACGCCAGCTGCTCGAAACATAACATCCGATGGTCCTGGACTGATTCGTTAGAGCAGATCGTTGGAAAAAAACGAGGGTAACATTTCATGGCATACTCGACGTTGCCAGCCCCATCGGTACCTGTCCTTTTTGCACATTCCATTCCCCAGTGAACGCCAGCTGCTCCAAACATACCATCCGAAGCTCCTGGACTGATTCACTAGAGCAGGGGGAGGCTGCTACCCAGCTACGCCCCACTTGGAGAGCAGCAGGCGCATCTCCGGGCAGACGGCGGCCTGCAGCGGCGTGCGTCCGGCGTGGTCGCGCGCGGCGCGGCTGGCGCCGGCCTCCAACAGCGCTCGCGCGTTGGCCACGGGCGGGTACTCCTCGAGGGCGGCCACGTCGTGCAGCGGCGTGCGGCCGTCGTCGTCGCGCGCGTCCACGGGCGCCCCGCGCCGCAGCAGCGCGCGCACGCAGTCCTCGAAGGTGACGGCAGCGCGGTGCAGCGGCGTCTTGCCGGCGTGGTCGCGCGCCGCCACGCGCGCGCCCAGGCGCAGCAGCGCGTCGATGCCCTCGGGCCGGCCGCGCGACGCCGACAGGTGCAGCGGCGTGCGCCCCTTGGCGTCGCGCGCGTGCACGTCGGCGCCGCGCCGCACCAGCGCCTCCACGCACTCTGCCGTCCGCCAATGCGACGCAGACACGTGCAGCGGCGTGCTGCCGTCGCCCGAGCGGCACTGCACGTCGAACGCGCCCGTCTCAAACACGCACCCCATCGTCTCCAGGTCGGCCGATCGGCACGCGAAGTGCAGGACGGTCTCGCCGGCAGACGTGCACAGCGACAGGTCCGCGCCCAACTCCAGCAGCAGCTTGATGCCTTGGCTGAAGGCGTTTTCCGCAGCCACCATCAGCGGCGTCTGGTCTTCGTCGTCCCGCGCGTCCACGCTCGCTCCGTGCCGCACCAACGCCCGTATGCACCCCAGGTGGTCGGTGGGCGCGTCCCAGTCCGACTTGTCCGGGAGCTGCGAGCTCACGTGGTTCTCCCAGTAGCCGCGCGCGGCCAGATGCAGCGGGTTGTAGCCGATGTAGTCGCGTGCGTGCACGTCGGCGCCGGCCTCCAGCAGCACCCGCAGCACGTCGAGGTAGCCGCAGGACGCGGCCCAGTGCAGCGCGCTGCGCTGCACCGCGTCGAGGGCGGCGGCGTCGGCGCCCCAGCGCAGCAACACGCGCGCGCACGCGGCGCGGCCGCCGTGCGCGGCCCAGTGCAGCGGCGCCCACTCGAACGAGGAGCGCGCGTGCGGGTCGGCGCCGAACTCCAGCAGCGCCTGCGCGCACGCCGCGTGGCCCGCCTCGCTCGCGGCGTGCAGCGGCATCTCGCCTGCGGGGGCAAACCAGCGCTGGGCCCTTCGCTCGCACCACCGAAGGCGGACGACACATTCACGGCCCGTTCACAATGCACGAGCATAACGCATAGACGTAAACATTAACATAAGTGATGGAGTGAAGTATTTATAATGTCCGACATAAACATAAGCAAAATTAGAGTTTCTATTGGCTGTGAGACATTGTAGTTTACTATTGGTTGGATTTGAGAATCGATTTCGAGGTGTCGACTATGTCCGTGGCGCATATGGCGTTAGTCTATCGACTTCGCTCATATTTCGATTTTCGATTTTGAGTTAGCGTACTATGATTGGTTCATTTCTAATGTATTACTTAAGCATAAGTTCAGAAGCTTAAAGCTTGTAAGTTTTTAAGATAATGTCTTACGTGTTATGCTTATGCGAACGTATTGTGAACGAGCCCGCTTATGGACAGTCCTAACGTGTATGTTAACGCCATGATTATGTTTATGTTTGCATTGTGAATGGGCCTTTACCCTCGCACGGGAGGGCTATCCAGACTCTCCATCCAGACTGATGCACGACTCGCGACCCCGACAGACGGGAAGCAGGGCTTTCTAATTCGCAGTTCAAATAAGCGGGTTGGTTTTGTGGCGCGAACACAATTCCAAATTGTCGAAAAATTATTTACGAAGCATAGTGAAAGCAACAGCTAAATTTAAGAATTCTCGAGTGTAATTTATTTTTATTAAAGAAATTGTTTTGAAAACGTGTTTCGGATTTCTATTTAATCTAAAGAAATTGCCCAACAGTAAGTATTTTGATAAAAAAAGGCGTGGGAAATTGTGTATTTCAGACTCTAGGATATTTTCTGTTAAAGGCGTAGCTGAAGCCCGGAGCTTCGACATCAACTTCGACACGCCCCGCAAAACTTCGTTTCTGCCTTAAAAATATTTGGGATATTTATAACATATTCGACGTCATTCCAATCTGGAATCGTAGTTGTTTGCCACGTTCTGGCGAAGCGAGTCTCTTCCTTCGGGAAGGCTCCTAAGAGCCATGCATCAATATGGATGAAACAGAGCCGGAATTTGGTATTGCTTCTAAGCAGAAAATTATGTAGAGGGAGCCACTCCAAAAAACATGTATCCAATATTTTAAAACAAGATAACGTTCAAATACAAAATTTTCAATTCAGTAGACTATTTAAAGTTTTACTAATTTTACTAAACCATAACTTGATAGTTATTTCCTTCAATTTACGAACTTACGAAATTTAAAAAAAAAAAATAAAAAAAATGTCAAGAATACTAATAGATCAAAATATTTTTTTCAAATATTCCATGGCATGCATTCCAGGGCGGCGCTCACCTTCGAAGGATCCCCTGGCGTCGGCATGGCAGGCGCCGGCGGCGAGCAGCGCGCGGAGGGTGGCCTCGCGGCCGTGCGCCGCCGCGCCCATCACCGCGATGGCGCCGCCGCCGTCCTCCTCGAAGAAAACCGGCGCGTGGGCGGCAAAGGCGCGCGCCACCTGCTCGCTGGCGCACGCGTTGAGCGCGCGCTGCAGCTCCACGTGGCGCCACTTGGGCACGCTCCTCAGCAGCCGCGCCGCGCCCTCGGCGTCGCCGCGCGCCGCCGCCCGCCGCAGCGCCGCGCGCGACCCACTTGCGCCTTCGCCATCGACCCCTCCGATCCCGAACCGCAATCCCGTCGACCGCCCCGCCCCGCCCCGCCCCGCGCCGCGGACGAAGAAGACCCTCGTGCCCGCGCCCCAGACTGGTTAGGTGCGCTGACGGTTTGGATGTTGATGGGTGTCACAGCCCCAGCAAGACACCACGTTTTCTCCATTAGTTCTGCAGGCGCCTCGATGTAATCTATCTCTCAGATAAGAGTCACTCAGAATTATTAATTGCCGTTTACATCATCACTAAGCCTATTCATATTAGGTCACACTAGTATAGGGTCGCCACAACTCATTCATTAACAGTAGCGTGCCACACAACTATTCTTATTATGAACGAATTCCGCGAATAACTATTCATACCTACTTGCGTCGCTACACAACTATTCATTACTTGCGTTCGCTACAACTTATTCATTACTTTGCGTCGCTCAAACTATTCATTACTTGCGTCGCTACAACTATTCATTACTTGCGTCGCTACAACTATTCATTACTTGGGACATTAGAATTATTTATTACTTGGGCCGCCAGAATTATGTAATACTGGATCTGCCAGAATTATTTATAACTTGGGCCGCAAGAATTATTTATAATTTGGGCCACCAGAATTGTTTATTAGTGAAGTTGTTAGAATTATTTATTAATTCTAGAATTCATCAGAATATGTTGGAAATGTGTGGCATTTTGTAGAACAACTAGTTCTTATTAAATTCATGAACATTTCTAATAATTAAAGTACTAATTGTGGAGAACAAACTTCACGTACAGAAAATTTCTATATTCTATATTATTGTTGTTGTTGGAAAACGCTCCATATATTTTGAACTTTTGCAATTTTTGAAAATTCAACGAAAATCGGATATGAGCCATTTTCATACGCATACTTTGCTATATGCGATAAAAAATATTCCAAAACTGTTTAGTCATTTTCGAGAATAAATGAAATGCCCTTAGGGCTTTGTGTAAAATTGCTCCAATTATTAAAACATAGATTTCAAAAACAAGAGGACTACTAAAAGCAATCTGAAAAATGGGTTTTGGCAATTTTTTTTGGTGGGGGGGGAGAGGGGGCTTCACAAAATAAATTCTATATTGAGTCAGCAGTCTAATACTTTTGCACTCAACAATTAAGGATTATATTTAGGGAAAAAAAGAAAGAATCAGAAATCCAAGCTGTACAATACTATTTTAGAAAAAACCGTACGAGAAAGTGTACCTTAAATCACGTGTTGCAAAAAAAAAAAGAGACATCACAAAGTTGAATAACACACTGGAACGATTAGAACTAACGAAGACTTAAAAACACATCATGTTGTGGATTTATATTAAGCATCAATTTTTATTTTTTTTTAAGCATGACTTTTTGAAACCATAATAATTACGGTTTACCTGAATCTGTGCAACCTCAGCATAAGCCGCTAATGATTTGAACACAAAAAATGAAGATTTTTGTAATAATGTTTCTTGGTGGAGTCACATAGGAATGATTACAGAGATGTAAAGTGAATTTGAAAGTATGCCCGATGGGCTCCCATTCTTATATCTTCCCTGAAAACCTCAGCGCTGTCAGAGAGAGGGCGCGAGTTTCTACCGAGACATCACTGAAATGGAAAGGGATTTGGTCTCCAAATATGTTGGCGGACTATTGTTATAAGAATATATACGCAATAGGGATGGTCCACAAACGAAAATCTGATTCTCATACATTTTTAGTTAATACTAAGTAAAAATCATTCCAACCAAGATATAATGCAGCATTTCCAGAAACGTTTATCATGCGATTACTTAAAAAAAACATGAGTGATGGAAAAGTTATGTAAAGAGATTTGAACAAGCACAAATTCGGCGAGAAATCACCCATTTTCCCCCTCTTTGAATATATAAAAACCTAATGTTGTTGACCTTCAGAGGCGGATGTACACATGGGGAGCCTCTGTACACTACACTCAGAGCCGCCCCTTTTTCTATTCTTTAAGTTTCATTAAAGTTTAAATAATGACTTAAATCATTTATTCAATTTATAATACAAATTTTGTATAATAAAATGAATAACATTACACAAAATAAACTAAAATCTCTAGCGTTTTTCTGATTGGACAACAAGTTGGTCAATGCGATTATCACAGTTTGTTTTTTCTCAGTGACAGGTGCATGTAACTTTATCTGGGACCACCATTTGGCTGGATTCGATTTATATCAGGGTTATTAGTCCTAGGGCTATGGAAGCTGAAATGATGATGAGGGGTAAAGGACGACCCATATAGACAAACATACCCGCAATCTTCTGGTCCGAGATCGCTACGGCACTACTGCCTTAGCAATCTCTGCCATCTGAACACAGTTCATTGATTTTAAAATTTCGGATTCTATTGCCAACAAAGCAAGCCCATTAAACCGATCTTCGGTGATTTTAGATCTGAGGTTGTTTGTCTGTTTTTGCGCTGCAAGTATTTATGCAGACAATCATCCGGTATGCAAATTCAACATTTGTATACACCATTTACAATTGCAATACAAACATCATCAATTCCATTCGAGAAAAAAATCAATATTGTTCTCAGCGCAGTGTCTTTGGAAGTGTAACATTTCATATCCCAATGTGCTGTCTAAATCCAAGACATAGAAGTCTCGCAACAAGTTGATTTTACTTGTACAATGCTTGCATTCAAATTTACAAGTTCTAAAAATATAGAGAACTTTCCATTGCTCTTGTCCGCTTCGTTTCTTCTAATTAACTCGCAAACTAAGTTTATAAATAATTTTTAGTATTTTGGTCTAAATAATTTTACAAAATAATAAACTTACCTTAATGAACAATTATATCGCTCGAGGTTTTTCGTATCTCAAGCTATGTAACATACAACGTTGAGTTGAACACGAATGCGTAGATACGAACATAGATCAATTGTTTGTTAATTATTAATTAAAAGTTACAATTTTTTATAATTGGGTTGAATCGTGGTCATGTATAGCTCAAATATTTTTGGGCAAACAAAAATTCAAATGATTTGTTTGATTTTTAACCGAGATATGTCGAATTGAAGTAAAAATAGCTATGAATTTGTAAAATATTTACTATTTATTATTTAGTTCAACTACAATAATTTAGTAAATGTATTTATGTAACAAAAAAGATGCGCTTATTGTATAGACATGTTGACAATAGACATACTGAAAGCTATAATATTAAAAAAAATTAATTTATATAATTTTGTTAAAACAAATTTCATAATAGTGTTTTTCGCCGGCCAGCTGGCCGTGCGCAAATGCCCTTGTTGAATTAACAATTTTAATTCCCTGCCAATAAATAATTTTTCGAAAACAAAATATTTTTAATTAAAAAATTTGCCGCCCAAGGGGCAGTGCCCAGACCTAAATCCACCACTGTGACCATTGTAAAGAATGATGTTCTGGATCACGATTTTAACGTCAAGAAATATAGTGTAATTAAAAAACATCGAATTGATATCAAACAATATTTTTATGGCTAACGTCATTGATACACAACTGTTATGATTACATCAACTGCATCACCATAAAAATCGATATACATTATTTTCTATTTTTGTACCAAAACACCACGAAGTTCCAGAATAACCGCTACATCAATGTACTAAAACCAATTCGCTTAATAAAATAAGGTTAATAATGTTCTTAACTGACCCAACAAGGGGTTAATAATGTACGGTGGGAACAGAGTTCGACGGCCTCTGGTGAAGACGATCAATATCACATACATTCAGGAGCTAGGTCTACCTTCTCCACAACAAGTGTTTCAAAAAAACAGTTGAATTCTCTTTTTTGTTTACTTTTTTTTCCACGACTTCCTGGCCAACATTTCTATCAGACATTTCTACAACTTTTTACGTAAAAATAAGTTCACATAACCCAAGAAAGTTTATTCAAGCATTATTTGAAAACCGACCAATTGTGTTTCGTTCGTACGCAATCAAAGATTTTGAGTTACGGCATTGCATTCAAATTTCTGTTGAAAGTGTAGCAGAATTTCCGTTGGGAGAAAAACAGGATTTTATGCCAGTTTTCTAACACTAAACGATATAATAAAATGAATATTAAGAATTTTCGTAATCAGTTCTTTAGTCATCAATTGTCTTGTCACAGTCAGCTGCCAGTTCTACCAAAATCGGCAGTACTTAGTCACTCGCAATCGTAGTCAATCGCAGTCACAGAAATCAATAAACCTATAATTGGGAAACTGTTCCTATTAAATAAATTTCAAACCAATTAACGCCCAATAAAGTTTAATATTAATCATTTAATCCCTAAAGGGGTGCTTCTCATTCATTAAAATAATCTTTCGATATCAGTTTCTTACCTTAGTTGTAATTGTCTAGCGAACGCCTCCGAAAAAGTAAGACTCACGTTTCTCACGAATTTATTCTTATTATTATTACTACTACTATTAAAATGAGTATTTCCAAATACCGTGGTACTGAAAAGATAAGAAATTTGATAGATACTATGTTTCGGACCGATTGCTGTAAAATTGAGGAGAGTGAATTTGAGTCAATTAGGTGTTGTGGTGGGCTAAATACATTCGATAGCTGGGTATACTAGGACATCTAATTGTCATTTCTCTGCGTAATCATATTAGTTTGCAATGACGACATGTTGCGCAATGTTATTTTTAACGTAATTTCAATCATTTTGTGCACAGCAGAAATCTTCATATTAATGTTCTTCATTCTCAAACATTGGCAATAGGACAATTCAGGATATGTAATCATCCTATTTCTTTGATCACTTGCACAAAAATATAAAACCTTGGTATAATCCAATAGGCTACTTACTCTAGTGGTAAGTGCGCAAAATTAATATTCACTTCAAATCAGGGCAATCTACACCACAGGACAGAATAAAATATATCAATTTATTTAATTTCACTGAAACACTTTAAAATATGAATGGGTTGTTAGGGGGATTGGATGACACAGACCCAAAATACAACTTCTGCGTCTATGTGTAAAAGGACCTGTTGCAGTTTGGGAGAGCTTTCTAGTCTGAATCATGAACTTTAGTTTCCACAACATGCTTTTGTTAAAAGACGATCTACAAAACTATATATCACAAAAAAAAATCAATATAGTGCATTAATAACTCTATACAGTAAAATCACTACTTAAAATGCCATTAATTTGTAATTCAATTTTAAACACCAAAGTATTCTGATAACTCTGTTACACACTCAGGCTTCAACGCGCTTGTTATTGTTTCATGCGAATTACCATCACAAACAATGAAAACCTTTAAACATGCAATGACAGTTCAGAGAAGAAAACTTCGAAAAATACTCACTTTACAAATCTTTTACCGGCTCCCCAATGGACTCTTCAAGAAACATGAAACACCACGGGCAACCAGGAACAGGTCTGACCTATTCCTGTTGAGGATTGCAGTTCCGGGCCTTCTTTTCCTCGTATCTTTCACTACACGTCAGCTTCGTCAGCATGCGTGGTTATAATAACTGCTCACTGACACCAGCTGATATGTCGCGTGCTCTGGTTGGGAATTCAGACAGGCGATACCAGCGCTCGTAGCGCCGAAACTAAGAATTGGCAAGACGAGAATTGATGAGAGGTGTGGTTATAGAGGGAGTGTAAGGTATGGCACCAATGGCCAATGACCACCAATGCCACAGAAAATCAATATGATGGATTGTCCTAGTGTATTGAAAGGGGAGTTGTCAATACTGAAGACGTGAGCGTGAACATTGAAGGTTTGCTTATGTGATGATTTTCGATAATATTCAGGGATCTGTTGTCGTGGGTGACTAGGCGGTACTGTTGTGGGGCAGTATTTAAATAGAATAGTTTACCCTTCGGTGTTATAATGTTTTTCATTAAAAATAAATGTCCGTTAACTATAAAATACATTTTAAATTCTTATTCTTTAATTGATGGGTGTGACTAGTTTTTACTAGTACCTGGTGTGAGCGGTGTGGATCTGGTTAATGTTTTATTAACACGAGGGACTATAAAATTTAATAGTGTGTAAATTCAGTGACAATCCTGTTCGACACAAAGTAGGCAATTTTTCATGTATCAACTAATATCCAGTGTGCGAAAAAGCCTGATTTCTTGTTTTCGTCTTTTGCAGGTGCTTAAAGGCCCACATTGACAGCGCACTTACAATTAAAAACTCTTAATCATTTAAAACTAATTGGGTATGATTATGGAATATGATTGCGGTTGATTTTACTGATATGTGTGAATCAATTAATTGAGACTCCTAAAAAGCAGTGATTTTTCACATTTGTTACTTTACAGTTGAAATAGCAATATGTTTAATTGCAAATTATGTAATTTATTTTTTATTTAAATAAATTTGATTATTTTGAAGTTAGACTTGGTGAAATCAGAATTTAAATTTTGATAAAAATAGGATACAGAATCTAGCAAAAGTAAAGATTTACAAAGTATTATAACTACCTTAATTATTTGATTGCCTAAATTATGTTGTGAACATTTTTTGCTAAAACAATAACATACAAGTAAAATCATTCTTCTCACTTGAGTAAACTAAAAATAAATGAAAATTTATTACAAAGTATAGGCAACTGTTAATAGATATGAATTACATGAATGTAATTTCTAAATGAAAAAAACTTGGTATTATTTACTTCACAAAATGTTACGGTCAAATCTTAACCACTCATAGATCCCTTATGATTCTGTACTCAATATAGTGAACATAATGATTGACTACCATGCATATCCTGTTTCCTACATGTGATTGAATTCTGAAGACTTTTTGGAAAATATCATGTACAATTTAGCACAAAACTGTTTCATCAACTTCTTTCTATCTTATTCAATCTGTATTCCAAATCAAACTCTTTTTTTTTTTGTTTATTGCATTCATATTCAAGTATCATTCAATCAATTCTTTACCTTCATATTAATACCATGTCAAAACAATGATGAAATATTTCATTGTCAACCGTGCAGTACTCATTTAGATAACACTACATCTAATATTTAAAACTGATACAAATATGTTTAGTTGTCATCAAAACTGCTAAACAAAGATACAATACTCTACAATAAATAAAAAAACATAACAAATGGTTGGAATGTCACAAAACAGAAAACAAAACAAAGCAATAACTTGAAAATCTGAAGAAATAATTATTAATGAAATAAATAATTTTTGTGCATGATTTGTTCCTGATATCTGTGTAATTATTATCCTTTTTTTTCTCTGATGCTCATGCACATACCTACTCCTAATTTTCAAATTTATCAAAGAATTCTACACACACTAGTTTACAACACAACATCAATGTTAGACTTTGTAGACATTCTACGGAAAGCAGCATTTGAATTGAGATAAATATTCAAAGAATACCAAATGAATATATCGAGTCAAAAATAACAATGATGGCCTTTTACAGCAAAGAATATCTTTGTGCCAAAATAGTAGTAGAAAATACATTAATTGAACAAGTTACCATTTTTTAATAACTTAAAATGCAATTGAATTAGAAGAAAAGAATATTAACGAAGAATACAAATAGAAAATAAATAATGGAATAATAAACAGAAACTGTGTATGTGTCAAGGAACAATAATAAATTTTCATGAGTCATTTGTTAGGTCAAGAAAATGTTGGATTTCCTGATATACAAAAAATTTTCAGAAAATCCAAAGTTACAAATTATAATGTTTTGCACTTTTGAGGTTTATTTTGTAATATGCAGCAATAGTCTGGCCAACCTATAATGAGGCCTCATCCACAATGAGGGGTTCAGATTTCTGAGATTTATTGATGATGATTCTATATCAGGACTAGATAAAAAATATGAGAATATTCATTCCTGCCCTTTTCTTTCTGGACTATTATATCTAGACATATGAACTGTCTAAATATTCTTTCTGAAGTGTGATTTAATGTTCTGCAACATAATCACAGATTTTGTCAACCTTCTTATACATTATGTTTAAAAAATGGGGGCATTATTTCAGGTATTAATTCCCCATTTGCAGACAATCAAAATAGTACATTACAACATGTGTCCAGAAATACTTCATTTCTCAGTTATGCTGAAATTCACCAGAGTGTTTTTCAACATTGGCTTCCTTTAACCTGTTTCTTCTGACAGTAACTATCATACTATTTTGGTTGAGAAATCATTCAGTTCCTACACGCTCTTGGTAGGTACCCAGATACTCATTCCAGCTTTTTGGGTTAAACTTCAGTATTTACTTTACATTGTCAACAGAATTTGCAGGCAGTGAACAATTGAATTTTCTCTAATATTAATTAAGTGGTTGTGAAAATAATCATAAACAGATAAAAATGTGTCTGAATCCAGTTTGTTGAAATATGGAATATCTGACAGCTAAAATGAATTTCAGAGTTCATGGTTCTTAGTTGGTGTGCTGTTTTATCAGTTACATTTTAATTATGAAATAATAAACACTACCACTGTTAAATGAAATGTTATCAAACATCGATATGTAACCACCAATGTTTCATTCCTTTTTAAAGAGTGAAGATGAAGGAAACCTTAAAATGTAATTTTGCAATTATATCACTGATTCACGATTATTTTACACCTTGTATATGATTTAGCATTTTCCAATTGATTTCGCATTTTATTACAGATTAAAAACCTTTAGAAATATACAACACCAACCATCAAACAAATGTTTACTATTTTTCTCCAGTGTTTGGTAACATTTTGTATTTTTAGCAATTGCTAAAATCTACCATATTTAGCGATCATGGACTTAAAAAACATAGCTTTTAATAGTTGTATTCTCTTCTTCTTTGGCATTTTCCCCTTAGGTGCTTGCTGTTTTCACCCTTCACAACTCTCGGCCTTCCCAATCTCCTGGTTTGAGGCCATCCTCCATAGCTTTCTGGATGTATTTTTCTCACTCTAAAATGAGTCTTCCTCATCTCCTCTTAGGTGCTTGCCACTTTAAGATCTTGTATGGTGAACATTCTCAGAACATGTCTATACCATAGTAGTGCTCTATTTTCCAAATGTCTTTGTAATAGAACAAATTACATTCATCTTCTCTGTTTTTCTTCATTTTTGTCCCTGCGAGTTAAGTTGTCTCTTATTTCTTATTTTGTGTGTTTATGGTCACATTTTTGCTCCGTATAGTACTATATTTTCTACTACACAGTGGAATATCTTTCTTTTGACATATCCAATAATGGATATTGTTATTCCATAATACGTCATGTAGAGCTTTGGTTGCTTTCTTCCCCATAATTAATCTAGAGTGGCTGTGATAATTAATCTGTGGCACATGTACCTGAATTGTTTACTAAATATCCGAGATATGTGAAGGTGTTTCAGCTTTTATTTAATTTTGTTACCATTCACGTCTATATCCGTTATTGCTTATCCAATGCACATACTTTCAGTTTTATTAAAATTTATTTCTAATCTCCATTTATTATATTCTTTGATTAGCTTTCTTAGTGTATACACCATACCCTCTTCATCTTCAGAAAATTACCTGGTCATCAGTTAATAGAAGGGAGTGAAAGGTGTCATCTCCAATTTTTTTCTCATGCCTGAACATTTCCTCTACCAGTTATATAGGGCTTGTTCTAGGTAGATATTGAACAAGATAGGAGACAACCAATATCTTTATTTTAGACCCTTATTTACTGGAATGCTTCCAGTTAACTTATCTCCTATTTTAATTTTCGCTTTTATTAAGATTTTTATCAGATTTTTCTTTTATATCAACTCTTTTCATTGCTTCCCATATTTTTCTTTTCAGAACACTTCATATGCTTTTTATAGGTCTATAAAGGTATAGATCTATTTCTGCTTTTATGTTTCTCTATAACTTGTCTGATACAGTGAATATTATCTAGCCATCCTCTTCTAAAACCACTCTGCTCTTCACTCAATACAGGTACATCTTCTATTTTTTTACTCAAAATACTAGAAAACAATCTTGTTGTTGATGGTATGACGTTTATTCCACTGTAATTTTCACATGGTTGTTTGACTCTCTTCTTAAATATTGAAGAGATGTAGGATGGGTTCCATTCTGCAGGTGGATCCTCTCCTGCTTCTATCTTATTGAACATTTTCTTTAAGTATCTCACAACCACGTCTCCGCCCTATTTCAGGATCTCCATTCTCATATTTCCTAGTTCTATGGCTTAATTGGTTTTTGCTTTACATAGTACCATCTTAATATCATTCTAAATTATTAAACTTCTTTTTTTCTCCAGATCTCTTATTTCTTCTTCTCCTTTACACTGGTCTGCTTTCTAGTAGAAGCGTTGAGTAGTGGTGTATCCATTTTTGAGAGAGTATTCTTTGTACCATGCTTTTACACTTATTATTTCTTTTAATTTTCTTGATAATTTTCCAAGTTTTAGATGATTTATTGTATCCTACAGTACCATTGATGTATGTAAATAAATGTATAAAATCAAAAATTACAGAATTACGGTGTGTTAAGCGAGCAACATCATTTGATTCTAACCAACTAACTAAAAGATCCAAATGTCATCTATTACCAATATGAGCAATTTTATTCATGTTACTATCAAACAACAGCAACAGGAATTGGATTTACAGGCTGCTCAGTTTGTCTTACAAGTACTGCATTTCATAGTATTGAACACCCTGAATTCATAAAACTTACTTCAGCTTTAAGGCTAGGTGATACACCTAAAAAATACAAAATAGGAAATGATCTCGTAAATGTATTTGAGGATGAATAAAGCAAAATTCGTTCTGTTTGAACAGACAAGAGTGTATCCTTGGAGGTAGATGGTTGGTCCAACAGTTGACACAAATCAGTAATTGCTTTTTTGGTTGTTGACAAACATGGAAAATCTTATTTAGTCACACAGTTGACACATCTAGTTACCATCATACTGACACTTATTTGTAAAGGATTTTAACTAAGTCCATTGAAAAGGTGCAAATTTGATATAATGTATTGTTGCTACTTATAACAGACATTGCTGCAAATATGTCTGCAATGCAAAGAAATATTTTAAGTAGTGATTTAGATGTATTAATATATGGATATGTGCACATTTTTAAAATTTTCTAGAAAAAGATTTTGATCAGGCTACCCAACAGGTGACCTGTGGGTCACATGCGGCTCGCAATGCCATTTATTGTACACAAAAGGTTATTAGTCAAAGTGAAAGTCCCTTTCCTCCATGTCGATCAAGAACATTGTGTGAAGCAGCTGCCCTGCCGAGGACAACACCCATTTGATGTTAAAATTAGATACGTTCCGATAGGTTAATAGTAAAAATTGGATACTTATTTTTCTAGTAAATACAGCAATTCAAAATCATCCCAATGTATTGTAAACTTGTTGATACAAACACATACATTAATATACATGAATGCACATAAATATACATATACATTAATGAAATTAAACAGAGATGTATATGTATCGTATAATACATCATTGAGACCTGCTCATCTTCAATTTACGTTTTGTACTTTGCACTCTGTTTCGCAGAAGCTAAAAGTTTGCAGAAACCAGAAGTAAGGTGTGATTCTGCTGTACATTAAACACTTACATTAAACCTTACTTCTTGACTGGAATTTCCGCAGTGAACATGATATTCACTTTTAAAAAGTAATTCATAAAAGGCAGATAGTATTCTGCACAAAAATATATGTTCATAATGTAATATTCGACTCTGTTAAAGAAAAATATCATCAAAATATCTGTTACCGGTGAACAAAATAAATGATTTAATTATACTTTATTTTAATTCACTTTACCAACATGATAAAACAGCTTCTAATCAGGTATTCTGAACAGCTCATATATGTTCTTACAGATAAGGCATTTTTAGAATTAAAAGTTAATTTAAGTCCTTGATTTTAAAAAATTTCATTATATCTGTATTCACTAAAAAGTAGAGATTGCTGTACAAAACATTATTCTAATTAATTATTTGCTTAATACCACTTACAGTCTCTTTCAGCCATCTGTACTACCTTGGAATTGATTAACTGCAAGATGCAGGAACATCTGAAGCTTGTTTGTCATAAATCTAGTTGTTTTTTCTTTTTTTAGGTTAGGGCATAAAAATCATACAATGATGTTAAAAAATCTTAAAATATTTTAAAAGTTTTGTACTTTTATCTTTTGAATATTTTAATTTTGTTTTTTTATTTTTAAAATTGTGCTTTTAAACCACACTTCATCTCTTCCCTTCTGTCACTGGAATCATATTCAAAATACCAACCACAAACCTAATTTGGTTTTGNCTCCCTCTCACTCAGTAAGCTGAATCTAGTAACACCAAAACATACCCTACTTGACAATCCTCTCCCTCATACTATAAAAGCAAATGTTTGTTGCAGTGATTTCAACAGCATCTCAAGCATCTTATGAGGTTTTTGAATTGCTACCAATCATCTTGAGTTTCTCACAGTTGGGTTACTGAGATGTTCTCTTTCAGAGAACTTTCCTTTTTACCTTGCAACCAACCACTGTAATTGAGAATACAAAAATAAGAGTGGAAACAACGGTGATGTATAAAGGTTAGAAGAACTAATAAAGAAAAGGTTCCTCTATAGGGAAGGTGTACTTTCGACCCGTTGTACCTTTAACCACTCCTTGCCAAAGTACATGTTACTGATGAATTTCAAAAGTTGGTATTCCCAGTTTATACTCCTACCTCCAGAGCTGCTGTAAGTCTTGACATTATTTGAAAAGCTTAATTATTATTGTGTATAAATAAGAAATGTTTGCAACAATCATATGTAGGTATTTTGTTCTGATTGTTTTGTCATAACGTAATGAATTATATTTGTTCTATTTCATAATGAAAACTACCAAAATATAAGAAAGACATTCTAGATGCAATATGCAGTTTAGTATTTGAAAAAAATTAACATTAAAAAATTCGACATGCATGATTTTGTGAAAAGTGAACATATGTTGTACCTTTGACCAGATCAAGACTTTAACCTTTAAGATACAATTCATCTTATGGTTACTTCCCTCAGATTATTTGTTTATTAATTTTTATTACTTTAGAGATTGGGAGAAGATGCCTAGAAGCTAAAGTGATTTCATTTTCACACAACCGTGCTGCGTCTCATGATTTTATGAACAGGAATCTGGAAGTTTTGCCTAAAATAGTGATGTAAAAAATATTAATTTTGTCTAAAATATTGATAGTAAAATACTTTAAATGGTTTTAAAAATATAAGGTCAAAATAACGTAATATAGTTTAAATGTTTCAAATTTTTATTTTAACAGTGCAATTTTCAAGAGCTCCTATGGAAACTTGACCATCAATATCCTGGTTACCCACTATTGCCAGAGGTTTATTATATTTTCAACAAAACCAATGTGTTTTTTTGGGAAGATTATTTTTTACTACGTTCTGACAATTATTCTTATTTGCCCTTTATATTTCACCATGAATATAACTTTATTTCACAGTGCTGTCTACAGTGTCAAAATACAAAAATGCCCATCCTTTGTCCTGAATTGCAGATATATTAACATTTTTATCAAGATTGATGTTAGGAGAAAAAGGACAATGATAATGTTTTTTCTTCTTCTTTGCTAGCGGCTAAACCATTCAGCAGATAGAATTGGTTAAGACAGATGCTGGAATAATCTTTGCAGGGGAAGTTTAGACAATAAGTAAAAAGAAAAAGACTTTTATAACAATATTTTAGCAAGGGCAAGATACGTTTAATTTTAGGTTAATATTAAGTTAAAAAAATAATTGTTATTTTTGTAAATAGAGATTTGATGGCCATCAAAATAGGTTACAATAAGAAAAATATAATGTGTATTGTCAAATTTCAAAACAAATAGGAAATTGAAATAAATTAATTTTGCAGATGACACTTAATTTCGCTGGCAATTTCGTAACAAATTACAATTTGTTTGATTTTTGATGAAGATTTGTTAAAGGATATTTCCTAACAAAATTAAATGATCATCATCTGAATACTCGTATGAGCGGTACTTTCTAGCCCACGAGAAAAAGAACAGTACCTTGAGATAATGCACACGTTCAAAACCTTAATAAAAATTAGAGCTAGTCACTCCATTAGAATAAATTGAATGAGATACTATGATTATGGCAACTCAGCCTTCGACGCGGCGTCACCCGGACAGCCCAGATCACCCACAACTTCGAGATACTATGATCTAAAATATATTGTGATTAAATTATAGAGAAATTATGATTAACTATAAACGCATGCCCAACGCGGGGCAAAACTATATTGTGATTTTATATGAATACGATCGACTAGATTACATAAATGTACATTTATTTACTAATTTAATATTTCAGGAAAATAAAAAAATATGGTGACATATGTAGAAAATTATTGAAAATGCTTGTTAAAAAATTATTGTTTGAACATAACCAGTTTAATGCAATCCACATATGTCATGACCATATTAGAATATATAAGAAATGACATATAAGGAAACAAATAAAAATAATAACCACAATATTGTGATTATACATAATCAGGTATGGCAAAGAAATAATCCTCTTTGTGATCATGACCTTCCTCACGAGTTTCGGATAAGAGACTGTTGAAAAATCATGCTATATGACTGGTACATATTTTGAAGGATTTTTTTTGTCTTAGAAGGTACATATTTTGAAGGATTTTTTTGGTCTTAGAATTTGTTGGGTTTGATGGCCTTGGATATTTGTATTTTACGGGAAGATTAATTTGTGCGAGATCCAAAGTGTGATACTCTCTACATATTTTGCCCTTAGTGTCATTTACAAAACTCTCTTGATCTGACAGTGAATGTTCAAAGACGTTGTTTCATGAATGATGCTTTGTAAGTTTCAAATATAAAATTCACTGCAATCTTATCTTCTTTAGTGAATTGATTCTTTGTGCACGTGACTTCAAAGATCGGTTCTAATGGTTCGAATTAGGTTAGATCACTGTTGCGGTAGAATTTGTTACAATTTCTACGAGAATAAAAATTGGCAGTGCTTTAAACAAATACTTATTATATTCAATATTTATTCATTCTGCCATGAAGTTCATGGTTAACAAAAACGGATTGTGCAGTTAACTCAATTTCAACATGAGAGAGAAAGAGAGAAAGAGAGAGAGAGAGAGAAAGAGAGAGAAAGAGAGAGAAAGAGAGAGAAA